TTTAAAATCATTTAATTATATAATTATTAATATAAATATTATAAAGTTTATTATTCTCCCCATTCCCCTGCTGTTTTTTCCCTCTTTTTTTTTTTCACCTTTGGGTTCGCGCGAACCCAGGTTCGTCGCAGAACCCAACGCCTGGGTTCGGTCTCGAACCCAGGCGCTGGGTTCGCCTCAGAACCCAAGCGCGGGGTTTGCCGCGAACCCAACTCCTGGGTTCGTCTCCGAACGAAAGATGAGGGGATTTTCGATTTATGGGGAAAGAAAATGAGGAAGAATGTAAGTATTTTCGGTTTGTTGGATATTTTTGGTTTGATTCTCTAATTGGATGAGGATTTTCGATTTGTTTCTCTGATTGTTTGATTGGATGAGGAAGAAGCAAGGTTTTTAAAATCGGACCGGATCGGCCGGTTGAATCGGTCGGACCGATACCCAGTGATGAAAACGGTTCAGTTTATATAAGAAAACCGTTTGAGGTCAAAATCGATAAAACTTGGTGAAAATCGGTAAAAATCAGTAAAACCCGATGAAAACCAGTAAAAACCGGTGGAACCGATGGAACCGAAAAAACCACCGATTCAATTTCTCATGCAATCTTCTTTCAATTTTTTCCAATTTCACCCTTCCCATTCCTTTCTTATACCCATTTTAACCTTTAATTTTAACAAAATTACAAAATTATCAACATCAAATTAGAAAATCCATGCCTACAGCTTGCTCCTCTCAACAAATCTTCCTTGCTGTTTGGATCGATCGGTTCATCGGTTGAATCGATTGAACCGGTTAAACCAAAAACTGGATCTGAAAACGGTTCAATAACTGATCCAGTTTTAAAAACTTTGGGAAAAAGAAACAACAGTGGCTGTGATGTTATAAAATGGCCCTTTATATAGTGGTTTTTTTGCAAATAAAAAGAAATGTGAAGACAAAATGGAGATGGCAGGTCAATTTCATTAAACGTTTAGGCGAGAAGCTCCCGCAGAAATAAAAATTGGGAGCTTCCGGCCTTTGCAAAGGAAAAGTGAGAAGCTGAGCTTCTCAAAAGCTGCAGCCACTTTGGGAAGCTACCCCGTTTGGTGTGGCTTGTGCTTTTAGAGCCAAAAAGCTCTTCCCACAATCCACACCAAACAGGCCCTATATTTATTGTGGGTAGATGGGAAGGGTAAATTTGAAAAAAAAAAAGTTAATGCAGCATTAAAATCTTAAAACATCAAATAATTAGGAACAAATTTTGGCCGCTAAAACGACTAATATTTAGGAACAGAGGGAGTATGTAGGAAGGCTAACTCTGCAGCTGATTGGGTGGCCAAAAAGTGCCTTAAGAATTTGTGCCCTCTCTACTGGACCACCAATCCACCTACAATGCTATGTAATCTTTTGCGTATTAATGTAAATTATTAATTAAATAAACAAATTCTCATTCATGTTCAAAAAAATAAAATCAACTGATCACTTACTATCATTCTCCTCAGCCCTTTCTCTCTCTATGCTCATCACCACCGTTGGAAACGTCTCCAGTCTCCTCACCACAACCATCGTTTCTGGCCATCATTCCATCCATTGTTCCT